TTCCATGATATGAATGACACAGTTGAGACCAGCCAGAAAATTCAAGACAAACATTTGTGGCAAGTTACTGCTGATAGCCACAATATGGCAACTGAGAAAACAGCTGCATTAGAAAACACTTTTTATGTGTGCTCAATGAAAATTTCAAATTTCATTGTAAATAATAGAAACTATTCAGGAGTGAAGTCTGAGAAGGTGAATGGATATCACAACACATGTCTCCCTCGTGAACCTAATGGCATGTGTGCTGTAAAGCAGTCTGATGACTGTCATGTAACACGGAAATCTCTCAGGTGTCCTGAGCATTTTAGTCAACATCACAAGATTCAAACTGGGCAGCAGGATTTTGAATATAGTGGAGAAGGGAAAGATACAAAGGAGGCAAAGCTATTGCAAAAAGTTACTCCATATAAAAGGCTTCATATGGGGCTGGCTTCCCATAAGCATAATGAATATAGGCAAGCCTATGTTAAGTCAGATGTCATTGCCAAGATAGGGAAGACAACTTTTGGTAAAAAGTATAGCCTCACTAAACACCAAGAAGCATCGTCAGGGAGAAAATCTTTTGAATACCTTGAAAGTAAGAAAACCTTCAGTAGTAAACTAGACCTTACAATTCAACAGAGGTTACATAAACATAAACAAGCCTTTGTGTGTATCCAGTGTGAGAAATCCTTTAGCACTAAGTCTTCTCTTACTATCCATCAGAGAATTCACACAGGAGAAAAGCCCTATGGATGTAGTGAGTGTGATAAAACCTTCAGGCAAAAGTCAGCTCTCATTGTACATGAGAGAATTCATACTGGGGAGAAACCCTTTGAATGTTATGAGTGTGGAAAAGCCTTCCAACATAAGTGGTACCTCAAAATGCATCAGAGAACTCATACAGGTGAAAAACCATATGAATGTAAGGAATGTGGTAAAGCTTTTCTAAAGAAGTCATACCTCAAAATGCATCAGGGAACTCACAAGAGTGATAAACCTTATGAATGTGAAGAATGTGGAAAAACCTTCCATAACAGATCATACTTCAATATGCATCACAGAACTCATACTGGTGAGAAACCCTATGCATGTAATGAGTGTGGAAAAGCCTTTTACCAAAAGTCAGACCTCAGGAGGCATCAGAGAACTCATAATAGTGAGAAATTACATGAATGTAAAGAATGTGGAAAAGCCTTTCAAAATAAGTCATACCTCAAAACCCATCAGAAAGTTCACACAGGTGAGAAACCATATGAATGTAAAGAATGTGGAAAAGCCTTCCAAAACAAGTCTTATCTCAACAAGCACCAGATAATTCATACAGGCGAGAAACCTTATGAATGTAATAAATGTGGGAAAACATTCCAGTGGAAGTTAGTCCTCAGTAAGCATCATAGAATTCACACAGGTGAAAAGCCCTATGAATGTATTCAGTGTGGAAAAATGTTTGGCTATAAATCATCTCTCATTGTACATGAGTTAATTCATTCTGGGGAGAAACCTTATGAATGTAATGTATGTAGAAAAACCTTTTCACAGAAATCAAACCTAAGTAGGCATCAGAGAACTCACAGACATGAGAAAATCTGTGATGGTAATGAATACAGAAAAACATTTGACTGACATTTAAGTCTCAGAATCTATCAAGTACTCCAGGCAAGAAACCACATGACAGTGAGTAGTGTAGATGTTCTTACCTTAAAACCACTTTCAGTTTACATTAGAGAACTCACTTGGGAAAGACTATAAATGTTGAAAACCCACTAACCGTGTATCATACCTCAGCAAGTGTCAGACTCCTCATGTATAAGAGAAGTCTTACAGTTATAGAAAAATATTCTCAGAAATCAAACATCAGCAAACATCATAAAATTCTTATGAAGGAAAAATATTGAGTGACATTGTAGCTATGTGTCCCAAAGACCATTTTCTTATCTCTGGACACAACCTGCAGTTCTCAGGCTCCCCTTGTGGCCATCACCAATTAATGAGCTCTGCTGGAAGAATATGGACCCAGGTGATAAACAGTACTTCTAGGCTTGGCAACCTAAAAATGACAAAGAGTTCTTTCCAATTTCTGTGTCATGTAAGAATGAAGTGCAGGTGACCCTAAGGATATTTTTAGCAAACATTGGTGGGAGAAATTTACTGGAATTTAAGAATTAATTGAAGAAAGATGGAGATCTTTGCATCTCTATCTCTGTGTCCTATACTTGGTTACATTAGTGAGAAATAAATATCTGCAGTGTTTAGGCTTCCCAAGTGTGACCTGTTTTCATTGTATTACAGCTCACTATTGGTAGTTCATTTTATGTGCATAGTCTTTCGGAGAGATGTATTTTGTCAGGACATTCATACTGAAGAGAAACCTGCACTGCCATCTTTTCATCTCCAGATCAATTTTAGAAGAATCAAATGTGGACCAAAAACATCATATTTGGGAATGTCTTCATCACACAGGGGTATCTCATTGAAGAAAAAAAGATATTTATCAAGCCTTAAATAGTATTTCCATTATATATATTAGAAATTAAAATAAATAGAAACTTACCAGTATAAGTATTATGGATATGGATACAAGTTTTATACAAACATTAGATATAATTTATAAAACAAAATGTTTAAGTATTTCCCAGACATAAAACATGAGTGGTGATGTAGCCTGTCAGGACACATTTGACTAATGTCTGAAGACATTTGCTTAAATGGATGATGAGGCCTGATGAATGTAATCAGGTGGGTAGAAGCCAGGGATCACTACCTACGAAGCACAGAGCAGTCCCCTAAGACGCATGGGCATATGAATAAGAGTGTTTTATGTTACAAATCCCCCCTTAATGAAACACATAACTATGGTGAGATACTGCATATAGATAACGTAATAAATATTGTAACAAATTATTGTATTCAACCATTTTCTGTTGCTGCAACAAAATATTGAGGTTCAGAACTTTATCAAGAAACTAAACTCATTTTTATGAGTTTTTAGGCTGAAATCCAAGATCAGGTGACTTCATCATTTCAACCTCTACCAGACACCCATTTGGCTGTTTTATAATATGTTAGAGAATTGTAATGGGACTAAGTTATGTACAGAGGGACCACACATGTGCACACATGTGTGCATTAAAACAACATGATGGAACTAACTACAACATTAGCATTAATATCTTTTATGGCTCCATCCCCTCATCTACCATTTATTAAAGGTTCACTCCCAACACAACTACACTATGGACCAAGCCTCCACTTGGCATATGAGCCTTTGAAAGACAATATTCAAAGTGTAGCAGTTAAGGATTTTCACATTAAATACCATGGCAAGGTCATAGTGTAAGATTGTATTAGCTTTTTGTACTAGTGCATATAAATTTTTATTTTTGTTACCAACACCTTAACTAAATAGGACTTTTTTCTTAAGGTCTTCAATGCACATAACAATCAGTGGTGTAAAGAAAACATTTCCATAAAAATGTACAACTCAGGTACATTACTTTAAACAAATTAAATCCAAATTACTTCAGATGGCTGTGATCAATGGTAAGTAATTATTATATTAAATTTAGTGACATACAATCTCTGAAAGCAAAATCTCCCCTGCCTTTTTATTCCCCATGTCCTTAAAAGGCATACCTTCTCCACAGGTGTGGGTATGTATGCCAAATGATGTGTAACTAGCTATTCTCGACAATTGGATTTCCGGTGATAGAATGCTAGGAAGCACAGTGTGTCTCCTCCACACATTTTATGTCTGACTTCACTTAAGCCTTTGAACTTTGTTTCTGCATATTCAAAAAGAGGGACGATAGTCTGTCTCAGAGTAAATTACATAAGAAAAATTCTTTGAATATTTCTTGGTACCTGATAAATAGCATATGTAACTATGAATGTGAAAATGATTACTATAATTTATAAAATTACTCTATTAGTTGGAGTTTCACAAACTCCACAACAGCAAAAGTTATTAGTCATTCCTGCACATAGTATTCCAAATATTTGTACTCATGTAATTAAAATGAGAAGACCTTGATCTCATCTGAGCACATTTATGAACACATACATTCTAGTTGGAAATCACATCTACTTTATTTTTAATTCATTTATCTTACTTTTAAGATAAAAGACATAAAATTCAAGTAGGGATCTATGTCATTTAATTATTTTAAAAAATATTTTATTATTTTTATTTTTTTGTGTGTATCGGGGTATTGCCTGCATGTATGTAAGGCACCTGTGTCATACAATGCCCTCAGAGGTCAAAGATGGCATTGGATTCCTCTGGAACTGGAGTTATAGACAATTGTTAGCTGCAATGTGGGTGCTGGCAGTTGAACCTGGGTCCTCTGCAAGAGCAGTCAGTGCTCTTAACTGCTGATCCATCTCTCTGGCCCCTCATTTAATATTTTATATTAGGGAAAACATAACCTATTATTGATGTTATGTGGTAACAATTTACTGCATTTTGAAGGACATTAGGGAGAGACTAAAGAATGTCAAAGACAAGCCTCACCTGGGTTAAGGCTCTGCTTTTCTCCCTACTTTGTGTTAGTGGACTAAAACCTATTTTAAAATCTGTCCAAGAGAATACATTTTTAAGTCATTACTATGCTCTGAAAATATATGACATATAAGGAAATAGAATTCAATAAATTTGACAAATGTCCTTCAGTCCTCTATGTTTCAAAGTTCCTCAGTGTCCAAAATAAATCATTCAAAAATAAAAACTAACTTCTAGTTCAAGACTGGTAGATATGACTTATTGGGTTTTCAACAATTGAATCTTGGTGACCACACTCAATGAAGATAAAAGGGCTAAAGTGGACTGTGACTATTCTGACTTTTAACTTTTATGGTCAGCCAGGATTCAAGGCATTGTGAGGTGCCTGAAAATGGGCTCTGAAACTTCATTGAGTCACCCATCCTTTTGACCTGAGAGAAAATGGAGACACCATTGTTTGAGTGAAAATTCTGCAGTGGTAGATTACTGATGAATTTGTCTTCAACACTTCCAAGAGAAGACTCATGGTCATTGTGACCTTGACTCATCCCCTCAGATGGGATAACTGATGCACACAAAAGCTAAAGGAACAAAGGGCTTCCTCATAGGTGCAAAAATAATCCCTAACATGCTTCAAGCGACCTTAACAGTAAAAGGAAAGAAATTAATTTTGACCATTTACTTTGTTTTAAACATAAAGACAGGATACTATATTTTATGTGGTAATCAGTAAGTGAGGAGAGAAAAAGGAAGTTAGAGGCAATCTATAAAGATTAATAATCAGATATATGGCAACCAATCTGACCACAGATTGTCCTTTGCTGTAATATGTTACCATAGTAATATAGCTACCCACAGGGAAGCTATAACAAAAGTAATCACAAGTTCAGAGAGCCACACACACTTTCAAACCCTTCCTCATAAAATGAAATATGCAGTGAACTTACCCTTACACTTATTTTCTAGGAGTATGGAAATGACAGTTCCAAGATTAGGAGAATTAGGGAAAAGGAAGGTACCACTGGGCCTGTAGATTGGAGCAGGCATAGAGAAGCCTGGGAGCTTGACAGAGTCATGTCCAGATGGAGAGGCTCATTTGCATTTTTCAGGTAGGCCTCTGGGGTGGGAATAATTTATAAATGGGAATAATCTGGACTAATGACTTTTAATCAGCCCCAGAAAAGCCATGTGCTCTTGTGTCTTGTGACCTGGGTCTATCTTGTTACCTTGGCAACCTCAATTTGGTACCCTACCCAAAAAGGTAATGAATGAATGCAGGTATGCTTGAGAATTAACATATCAAAGTGTTGAAAGGCAATGTACCCATCTCCATTGCACATAGTGGAGTTTGAGAAGGATGAATGATCTTGGGTTAATCAGATATTCTAGGAATGAAAAATCTGGATGGTCTGTTAAGATTGGGGTGGAGCCAAGCTTGTACTTCCCCAACTGAAGGTGGAGAAACCATTTTGAATAAAATGGGTGGAGCTTGACTCCAGAGACAGTTCCAGGGACAGAGTTTCAACAAGAGAGTTCCAAAGTTCTATCAGCAAACTTCCAGGAGACAGACTGCTCCAAAAGCTATCTTGGGGAACAAATGTTTTCTGAGTTCAGGGCCACTCTTTTTTTTTTTTTTTTTTTAATTTTTTTGAGACTGGGTCTCCCTTTAGACCCAGCTAGCCTGAACTCATTATGTAGACCAGGCTGGTCTTGAACTCACAGAGATCTGCCTGCCTCTGCCTCTTGAATGCTGGGACTAAGGGAGTGTGCCACCATGCCCGGCTCTCGGGGCCACTCTTAAAAACTAAATTTAAGAATTAGGGTTTTATTTGTTCAGGTGATCATAATGTTGACATAGTAATGCAGCACCCTGGAACACATTCCAGCCTTGTGGTACCCTCATTATCCAGGGTACTTCTCTCAAATCCTTCCGAAGCACATGGCACCTGGGGGCTGTGCTTACCACACTCTTGTATATATGTACCTATCAGTGTACTTTCTTGTGAACTCTCCTCACCAGGCCTCTGCTCTGTAATTTTCTTTAATTTTGTTTCCCTGAATCCCCATTTCTTTTATTAGAACTTGGGATATAGTATGTAAACCTGGGTGATGATAGGGCACAACTCATATGACTATTTTATTCTTTAGGAAAAAAATGACCTTATCTAGATGACACAGAGAATATTTGTTCAGTAAACATTACATTCACAATTGAGTCAACCTTGATGCTTAACTCCAGTAATCAATGAGCTAAAGTGGATGAGGTGGGCATTCAAAATTAGAGGCCATCCTGGGGTACACTTAGCAAGAATCTTCACATATAGGAAGGTATAAGCAAGAGAATCATGAGCCAAGACAAACATAGGATACTTAGTGTATTACTTCCTTTTCTGTTGCTGTGATAGAAAACACTTACCAAAGCAACTTATAGAAAGAAGAGTTTATTTGAGCTTATGGTTCCAGGGGAATTACAATCTGTCATGGTGGGGAGGCATGGTGGCAGGAGGTGGCTGGAGCAGGAGCAGAAAGCAGAACACTTACATCTTCAAGCAGGCATAGGAAGCAAGAGAGCAACAGGAGATCTGGCAAGGCTTAAGAATTCTGTAAGCCTGCCCCCAGTGACATGCTTCCTCCAGCATAGTCACACATTCTAAGACCTCCCAAAACAGCACCACCAACTGGGGACAAAATATTCAACTACTTGGAGCCTATGGGGGACATTGTCATTCAAACCACCGCATTCTATTCCTTGGCCTCCT